AAAAAATGAGGACCTGATGCCGGGGGCTTAGGTGGAGAGCAAATGTTTTGAGAATGATGAGGGCAATGAATGTACAAATGTCCTTTACACAATTGATGTATGTATGGATTGTGATGAGTTATATGAGTCCCTAATAAAACGATTAAAATTTTTAAAAAAGAGTTGTATGAGCCTCTAATAAAACGATTGAAAAAAAAGTATGGAAAAACCTGGCTTATACTGGAGTATATACGGTAGTCAGGAAATAATTGGTTGAATCAACTGGGCCCAGAAACTAGGTACCTAAAATAGTTTCAGGGCCAGCTATCCTGTTAGCAAAATGCTAGATAATAGTGCAAACCACTATGCAGTAACTATCAGGATGTAACTTCCAACCAAATGAAAAATTATATTTTAACATAAGGGATGCAATATTTTAAAATATTTGCTGTGTTGTATACAATGTTAGGGACTAGGGGTACATTCATGAGCAAACAGATTTCACCACTATGGAGTTTAATATTCTATATAGACAGGGTGGGGGCAGGCAGGCAGGAAACATAACCCCATGTTAGTAGGTTCTTTGTAGGGGTGTTGTTAGGTACTATCAAGTCTATTCTTACTCTTAACAACCCTCTGCACAATAGAACGAAACACTGCCCAATACTGTACCATCCTCACAGTTGTTTGAGCCCATTGTTGCAGCCACTGTGTCAATCCATCTCCTTGTGGGCCTTCCTCTTTTTTACTGTCCCCCTTACCAAGCATGATGACCTTGTCAAGGCTCTGATCCCTTCTGAAAACACGTCCCAAGTTTGTGGGACAAATCTCATCTGTGAAGTCTTCTTGGTGGAACTTTAATTTGGGCTACTGTGGACAAGACTGGCCTTCTTGAGGAAGTGACTATTGAGCAAAGATTTGGAGGTGAGAGTGTTAGCCATGAGGATATCTGGAGCCTTGCAGGCCAAGGGAAAGGCTAAGGTAAAAACTTTCCAAGAGGCAGCGTTCCTGGTCTGTTCAAAGAACAAAGAATCAGCTGTGGTTTAGGGGAGACAGTAAGATCTGACGCAAGGGGACCAGATCATGCAAAGCCTTATAGGCCCATGTAAGGACTTCCCCTGTGAGGTAAATGACAGCAGGGTTTGAGCAAAAGAGTGCTCCAATATTTTAAATGGATCATTCTGCTGTGTTGATAATAGACAAAACAAACCCAAACTCATTGCCCGAGTCAATTCCAACTCAGTGACCCTATATAGCATTTCTGAGAATGTAAATCATTATAGGAGCAGATAGCCTCATCTTTGTCCTACGGAGCTGCTGATGGGTTTGAACTAGTGACCTTGTGGTCACTAGTCCAACATTTACTTGACAGCAGGGAGGCAGTTGAGTGGTTTATAGACTGGCTAGCAGACTGCAGTGGCGATGTAGGCAAGAGAGGATGATAGCTTAGACCAGGTGGTGGCCATGAAAGAGGAACATGATCTTTCCCTGTCCCCTGCCCCTGTTTTTTCCTTTCATTTATTAACCTTTTTAGTTAGCGCTTACTTTGGTAGCAGGTGTTATATTCTTGAACTATATTGGTGAGCAAGACTAACAGCTCCTATCATCACAGGCTTGTATTTTAGTGAGGGGTGTGGGACCACGATGATAAATATGAGTAAAATAACAGTGCTTAGTTAACCAGCTATATCAGAATGCTGTAAGGGGAGGGGAGGAGTGTTGCCCACTGTGGCAATGATAACCTGTCTGAAGGATGTGTTTAACCTG